CTAAAGAAAAGACATAATTATTTTTGCCATTAAGGATATATTTGGATTTCCTTATTTTATGAATTCACATCTTATGTTCACCATTTCTGATTGCTGTGTTTCAGATTGTCATAAAAAAACCAATCTAATAATTAGATGACATATACCATTGACTCTGCTTTTGCATAAAGTAGGCAATGAAAATGTCAAAAGAGAACAAACAATAGTCCTGTTTTTTCTTTTGGAATGTTGGCACATATATACGCTAACCGGTTCTTGAAGTAGATGCTGTCAAATCTCGAAATGCGCAAGTAGCAAGCAACATGTTTCGTTTGTTTGTCATTTCACATTAAATTCATTTACTTCTTCTTATGCTTCATTCTGCCTGCTGGCAGCCATAATCTCAAAATGTTCCATCTGTGCTGCAGCCAATTTCTAGAACATAATTTGAAAGAGGTTATTAAGTCATTAACACTAGAGAAAACAAAACCAAAATGTGTGATGGTCCAGAGAGAACTTATTATAAAGCACATGATCTTTTTAAAGATGGAATATCTTGATAATATAAATAGGTATAAGAGAAGGTCACAATTTCTTTTAGCAATGCTTTTAAAACCCTATCTACATATCTTGGTTGAAAGTATAAAATATTAATGTATTTATTAGGATTTATTTATTTTTAACAATAAAAGGGCTTAATGCATAGTTCATAAAATATTGCAGGTAATAGTTAAATAGAAGGCAAAAATGATATTACAAGACAACTTAACTCCAAAGATTTGGGACTAATTCATCTTATAAACAAAATATTTGAATCAGTTTAATATAAGGTATCAAATTGAGTCATGTGCTTTTTGGAAACATTCAAAGCCAATTCAGAAACTCACATGGTTTTCCTAGATTTTGCAGAGCCTTCAAATATGTAATCTCAGAAATAACATAGTCCATAGTCCACACAGAGGCAGGCTCATTTATGTGTAACATTAGCAGAATTGCAAAGAGAATTCTCATCTAGTTCCTAACATATATTCCATTCTCTGATAAAATCTAAGTATTTGACCCATTTAAAGTTCAAAAATCCTCTGACCTTTTTCTCACCCAAAACTAATGCTGGGGTTTTGATTCTTAATGGTTCAATGGAATACAACATCACAAAAATAGAAGCTCATTCAGTCCCTTAAGGTCCTCACCCCAATAGATGTGTTTCAGAATAGATTTTCAAAACCTGTTGCGTATGCAGTTGGAATTTTTTTCCTCCTATTTTAAGCTATGGAAGAAGATATGTTAGCAGAAGAGAAGAATTGGCTTTAACTATGCATTAGTCTGTATATATTTCATCAGTTAGAATGATGTCATTTTAGTTTGCACTGTGCAAGAAATAGAGATTCATACATTCTCTGTATAAACTAAAAGAATAAAGATGAAATCTACATTCTACATTTACTTCTAGAAAAATGTAGTGGCTATAGCTATTTATACAAAATTATATTGATGATCTAGTTCAGCTTTGATCCTGCTGACTGTATCAAACCCTCAAGGTATTTATTCCCTCCATTCTTTTATTTTCAAGACATCTCGATCATTTGTCACAGAATGTGTTTTGTATTATATCTCAGCACTCTTCGTTACTCTCATTATTTGGTTAGAGGAAGCCTAAAATCTGATGTTGGAGAGAACACTGATGTTGTATGAAATGGAGACAGAAGGGATTAAGTTGACAGAAGAATATTAGTTCATACATTAGATGTAGGAGATGACCAGACTAAGTCCAAGTGAGGGGTCAAATGCATCCTCAGTCATGAGTCCCCTCGCACCCATAAGAGTTCTAAGTCCAGTCCATCTTAAATTCCTTGGACTCTTACCTACCCACAATTGGTTTTGGCCATTAGTAGTTCAGATTCTTCTAGAGAGTGGAAGCTTGCAATAAAACTTTGTAAAACTTTGAACTGCCTGTATTTTCTGATTTCCTGGGGTTTGACACTAACATTTGTTTTGTGCAAACACTGTTTGTGAGAATATGAAACAATATAGAAAAAGGGATGTAAGTATACAGTATATAGGGATACATTCCAAAAGTAGAAAGTAAAATAGATGAACTTTATGGGATTTGCATGAACCACTATGTAGGGGAAAAGGGCTGAAGTATTTTTTAAGTCCGGGCAACAAGATAACATTGGAAATTGCTGCAACAAATGCCTGCTTGATTCACTGGCATATATGGAGGATGAGGAATAGTACAATTAGCCTTGCACAATTTTGTTATTATAGCCAAACTCAACAGAAGTTTTTTTTTTTTTTACCCCTCTTGTGGAGATGATTTCCTCATCTGCTCTAGCTAGTGGAGCTGACACCAAGCAAAAATTTATCATTTTTAGTAGATTTTACATCCAAGTTTTTGAACTTTGGTGTTGGAGAAGACTCCTGGGATTACCATGGGCAACTGAGAAAGCAAATAAATGGAGCATTGAACAAATAAACTCAGAGTTCTCAGTCAAGGCACAATTTATCCTACTTTAGATACATTATGCAAAGACTTAATCTCAGGAGAAAGCTGTAATGCTGGGAAAGGTAGAAAGAAAGAGAAGAGGATGACTACCAGTAAGATGGATGGACTCAGTTATAGTGGTGTGGGGGCACCATTGGAAGAACTAAAAGACTAGGTTTTAGACAGATCATCATGGAGAAAAATCTATCTATGTGATTGCTAAGAGTCAACAACCACCTGATAACATAGAATGAATCAATCAACATCAAAATTCAGAAGTTGTGAAACTGAACAATGTACACATCCAATGTTCCATCCAAAACTCTAAGAATTTCATTCTTACCAACAAAGGAGGATATTTGCTGCTCAGGGCAAACCCCATTCCTTATTAGTACTGATGATAGTACCTAGTTTGTGAAATGAAATATCTATAAGAAAATAACCAAGCTCAGAGAGCCCCAAGGACACTTAATTTCATTCCTGCTAAAAGAGTCCAGTTAGATTTCTCTTTTTAATGGCATTAGGAAAAACAGCCTCCTTCTCCCATTACTGTTTCCAATCCATTTTTCTTGAGCCTTATTTCTCTGTAGCTTCATTAGTTTAAACGATTTTCATTAAGAAAGAGAAATACAATAGCCAACATTTGTAATAACTGCAGCATAAATCTCATATATTGGTATAGTCTCCTCCTTTCAGAATTTGTATTATGAGGCTTTTCAAAGATTATAGTACCTAAAAACATAATGTGCAGCAGCATCTTTCCAAACATATCTTGAAACTGGGGTTTTTTTTTTTAAAGAACACCAATGTCAACAATGCAATATAAATAGAAGATTGAGTATTGCAGGCTGTTTGCACCCAATTTTCTATCTTTCCAAGAAATGATCTAAACATCTGATACTTGGCCTGCTGGCAACATTACACAAAGAATGAAAACTCATTTGGATGATGATGATATCAAGTTACATACAACTGACCTACTCCCACAAACACTGATGACCCTACAGTTCGGATGATCCTTATCATTATGACCATTCTCACCAATTTGGTTCTAAGAATTGCCAAATTACTCAAGGAAGTTTCACATATCCCTTTTTTTTAAAAAAAACACTCACTAGCCTTTTATCTAATATCTTCATAGTGGCATATTCTATCCAAATTTGATTAACTGATGTCAAAAAGTCAGGTTCCATCCTTTTATGCTGACATCGGCTTCTGTAAGTCTAGCATGGGTGATGTACTGACGATCCGTGACAGTTTAAAATAAGCTTGGAGATACCATATCTCAAAGTCATTTTTCTCTCAGCACTATTCCATAGGCATTTATTTTCCTCTTTGGGTGGGTGGGGGAAAACCAAGATAATTTACCAAAATGAGCCATCAATGTCCAAACCACTAAATCTAGAAAGCTTTAATCTCAAATTAGTTTGTTTATATTTAATTTAAAATGCATAAAGGCAGGCAAAAAGCTTTAAAATATATTACTTCCAAGCCTCATTTGTATATTGCCTTAGAAAACAGTATCTAATTGGCACTGCTAACTGTGCCTTATAAAGATGTTTTCATAACCAGTATTTTTTCCAAGATATTTTATCTTTAGCCTACATTTGGAATTGCATTTATCACACAATTAGCTGATTAGCCACATTTTTTCTAACACACACACACACGCATGCACACAAACCAGAAACAATGTTTAGCTCTTTAAAAAGGCACATGTCAAAATATCATGGATCATGCCCTTAAGCATAAATAGGCAATATGTAACTTTCACTGCCATCTGACATATTTATCTGAAGTGGGAATTATCTAAATAATTGAGTAGAGGAGTAAGATCTCACAATTTTTCAGCAGAATCTACTGGGAAACTCTATTATAAAAGGTTATCCTGGAATCTCCATAGAATTAGATATTCTGCTCTAATAGAATATCTTGAATGAAAGCAAAAGAACCAGGGGACCACAATGCACTACAACTGCTTCTTTATTGCTATATAAAGATGAAGTGGCTGGGCAGCTAGAGTTTGAGTGCAAATTTCAAGAAGGAAAGAAAAGGTGAACTGGACACTGTTCATCTGTATTCTATATGGGACATGATGCAAGTATCTGTTGTTGCCTGTTAGAAAACTCCTTTCCTCTGGGAAGCTGATCCAAGATATTTTCTCTTGCCTGATAGAAAAGATTCCAACACCCAGTCTTGTTGATGTGGACCACCACTTTTGAGGTTCTATATTTGTCACTCTGTGTCTTCTTCTAACTCTTTTTAATGAACCTGCATGCTTCCTATACTTCAACTAGCATAATTATTAATAACTCAGCGTTGAGGTCCTTTTGGCCAGGGTGCTAATTTCATCTGACAGAAAGGAATCAGAGAAATAAATTCTTAGCAACATGCCAGAGAATCACTTCTCTGGTTCTCAGATTTCAGAAATTTCCTAGGTCTATTTTCTTGAAGTCCCAAGTCAAGGGCAATTTTTAAATAACTGTACTTGATAATATCTCCCCTCTCTTAACCCTTTTCTCTCTTTCTCTCTTAGGCTGTATCTCAAGGGTCATTCTGGAACAGCAGGGAAACAAAGCAGTCTGATATTACATGGTGCTGACTTTAGTACCAAAGATGCTGACAATGACAATTGTATGTGCAAATGTGCTCTTATGCTAACGGGAGGTAAGCATCCATTTACAAAATCATATATAATGTTTGGATGAAATAACGGGAAGGAAGAGAATGTGATTACACTATTTCTGAATGATTTTTTCATTCATATTTTTCAAGGGATTTCAGTAAAGTTTTAACATGGCAAATCCCAAGCTTTCTCTGTTACTAAATCCTGTATCCTTGGCTTTCTTTAATAGTTTAGTTTACTTTATTGTCATTGCACCTTGTACAATGAAACTAAGTACCATCTTTATATACATTATGGCTATGAAAATAAACACAAACACAATCCTTCACATTCTATACATTGAATTGAAAACTACTGGTATTGCATTAATATTGCAGTATACAGTAAAATTCAATAGAGTTATAGTCCTGGAATAGGAGCTGTTTTTTCAGCCTACTTGTCCTTGTTTTTATTATCCTGTACCGTACGGTAATAGTTCAAAAAGAAAAAAGGGTGCCCAGGTTGAGATGGATCTTTGAGAAGGTTTTGAACTTTCTTAAGGCAGCAGGAGCTATCAAGCTCTTCCAAAGAGGGGAGAGGTCAACCAATGATCTTCTGGGCAATGACGTTAACACTCTGGAGTGCTGTCCTATCTGCCACTGTGCAATTGGCAAACCATACACAGGTGCAGTAAGTTAAGATATTCTCTATGGTGCAGTGGTAGAAGGTCACTAGCAGTTTTTCATTTAGTTGTTGTTTTCTGAGAAACTCAGGTAGTATAATCTCTGCTGGGCCCTTTTGAAAAGGGCTGAAATGTGAGCATCCCAGGTCAGGTCCTCTTTTATGGTAACACCCAGAAATTTAAAACTGGCCACTTCCTCCACTCAATTCCACTGATAAGCAAGGGCTGGATGTCTGATCCATAAGTAAAAGCACACACTTAAGAAAGAGACAAGAGATCAAATGAAATAATAAGTGTGATAAATTCATCTTTTGGGGCTTTTTCAGACTAGAAAATCTGATCACCTAAGAAAATTCAGAACGAGAAAAATACAACAGATAACACCAAAATTAGTAGCTGTACACTTCAAGAAAAAGCTGAAAAACATACTGAGGCAGCAAAAAGAAATTCTCAGTTATACTGAGAATAAGATTTTTAAAAAACCCCAAACTTCCTATTTTCAAGGCAAAATAGCTGTTGATAAATTGCAAAAAAATTTTTGGAATAGTGCTAGTTTATCTTTTGGATCCCAAAAGTGCAAATGTTCCTGGTTGGGTATTAATTGAGTTTGACTAGATTGTAAAAACTCTGAATAGATTAGTATGTATGTTTATATTTTTACCATATGCATCTTCCTATAAGATAGAAATTTAAACACTTCTTAATAATCAGACTTAGAAAGATATATTGAAATCACTTGGTCCCAAAACCAGTTGTTAATATAACTTAATAAAACAATTCATCTTAGAAATAATTGTATTCTGGACAGTAAAATTCCTTATCAGACTTTCTGTTGGTCTTGGCAATCCATGTAGACAGCTCATTCATTATAAATTATATAAAATATACATGAGTTCTGTAGCTATCTTTGATAGACTGCATGGAATTCTGTAGTTTCTCTGAGAAATGAAGAATATATGTGGTGAATAACAGCATATATGAACCGAGCTGCTGATTAATCAGGGTTAAGAACAATACATATACACATTGTATTTCTTATTCAATTTGATATAAAGCAGTTTCTTGTAGGGAAATTAAATCTACTTTTGACTAGATTCTCATTTCATATAAAGTTCTGTAAAGGATAGAACTTCATAGTGTTGTGTATTTGTGTGTGTGTGTGTGCATGCATGTGTGTGTGAGTGTGTGTGGGTGTGTGTGAAAAGAGGGGAGCATAGTAACACATGAATCCAGTGGATATTTCTTTTTCAGAAATAAGTTAGGGATCTTTAACGGGAAATGTTTTCCATGTATCTAGACAAATATTCCCAGAATCCTTTGTGGACATCCATTGTACTTACATTTGAATAGAACTAATGAACAACAACACATTATTGAAGATCTGGGAAAGATTCATATACATAAATAGACATCTTATTACTTATTTCCTTGAGTACATAAGGCCCCGTAGGCATTTATGCAATCATTTCTTGTGACTTTCATAAACAGCATCACACCTGGAGCAAAGATATTAAATCTACCACCCTCTACCACCCTGGCAACATTTTATGCCTCTTTTTCACTAGCATATAAAATTACAATATACCCCTTGTTTAATAAGAATCAAGGCCATCTATCATGGCCTTTGGAAATACTTTTCTAATTTTGATATAATACATGACTTCTTTTTTCTTCTTCAAGCAAGTTAGATCAGAGGCATATACTTGCTTTCAAATTAACCTAGCATAAATCCAAAGTATTTGATTGGATCTTATTTTTAGTTATAGCAGCATTGGCACAATCTGAAATCAAAAGTTGGTTTTTGTTTTTCTACTTATGAGTAGCTAAACTACTATAGTTTATGGTATGAATAAATAAAAAGTAAAATCACTTTAGTGGTGTTTGTAAACCAACAAAATAAAAATATGAAAATTGTTAGCTGAATTGCTATTACAAGTATATCCAATCAATTTCAACACTTCTTTTCAACATTTCTTTATAGCAGGAAATTACATAATTATAAGATAAAATTATACTGTAACTCAGGAGTGAAGCTATATATATTCAGCAGTATTTAGCAATTCTAATTCTTAATTAGCTATATCTTGTTTCTGATCATTAAATTTGTAAATTTTGTCATGGTGTATTACTATCCTGTTCTATAAATAGGTGAAGAAGAAGAAAGTGTATTATTATTTAATCTGTATCCAATCATTGTTTATCATTTAGCTAGGTATGTATTTCTTCATTTCTTCATCAAATATACATGGCTGTCCACCTCAGGCAGTCTTACAATAAAAATATAAAACAATAACAATATATAAAAAACAGAAATTATTAAACAGTGATTTAAAAATCATAAAAGATACAAGAGTTTAGAAGTTAACAGCAATAATGGAATCATCTCAGGATCTCACAGTTCCCCTGGAATCTCCAGGCCTGATGACGTATCAGGTTTTGAGGTACTTCCAGAAAATAAAAAGGGAAGGAGCTAACCTCCATATAATAATATAATAGTGTAGTGTAGTGCAGCATAACATAGCATAGCATAATATAATAATAAAAAATATATGCAATATACCAATTTCTTACTGCCAAAAAATCTAATACTTTTTGGACTTTTACTCTGAGCCAAATCATGAATATGTTAGCTAGTTAGCACTGGTTCTAAATTTTTTGTCCACATTTTTCCTTAATCTTTTACTTTGTTCACATAAGGGGAAAAAACCTGCATTTTCCCAGGAAAGTTACAATCTGAATGGGTGCCGATTAAGATAGTATCTGATGAGATTAATCTGTGAGGACTGATTCAAACAAGCAAGTCATTACTTGTTGCTGTTGACAAGAGAAAAACATTTATGTGTGTGAACTGGATCATTCAGATCAGAGATAATAAATAGCCTCTAAGATCTGACAAAAGGGAACCTACTTAATCAAAGTAGTCAGTCATGAGCTCTAAAATCTACAGTCTAGTAGATTGTTCCTACAGGCATAATTTAGGTAGACTGCCATCCCATCCTGTGTTGGAATTTCTAGAGTTTAAATTTGACTGGTTAAGAAAAATCCCACAAAATCTTTCATGGTATGACTGATCTTGTAAAGTAGATTAGTAATAGATGCTACCTACTAATCCATACTTTTGGCAGTGTAAATGGTTCCAAAAGCCGCTTATGTAGACTTAACTCTGAAAAAGAAACAAACAAAAAAGAGGATTAGTTTCTTCTTTCTTGTTCAGCTTTGTCTTAAATTTATAAAGATTATGTTCTTGTTACAGTTAACCATCAGTTGATCTGCTTTCTTTTTCCTTGGTTATTAGCCCCTAAGATACAATTTTGTAACCAAATAAAGTTCAGCTGCATCAAAATAGCAGAATGCCAGAATATATCTGGCACCAATTCTTCCCCAAACATTTTGTTATGAATTGTTAATTCAGGGGTAAGGATATTCAAAGTTTTATAAATATGCAAAATATGAAAAAAGGATAGAAACAATAATGGAGTTGGATTCAAACAGAAGAGTTATGTTTGAGATTATGGATTACTTATTATTTCTAATATTCCTTGTGTTTAAAAACAATGACTCTTTTCTTTCTGATATTGAAGTAGCCAAAAATACATGAGCTATAGTGCAAGTAAATACAAGGCTTCTTCAATGAATTTTTCCATCATCTCCAAAGAGTAGATAGGAAATCCAGAATTTAAGGTTTATATTTTAATTAGAAAAATAATAATATCTAAGCATTTTAGTATGGAAAAAAATGTTACTTGATGGAGCCAAAAAATCTGACAGCATTCTGCTAATGATGTGCAATGAACTTGATTATAATTTACCTCCTCTGCAGGTCACTCTAATTATATCCTGTGTTTGCAACAGTAACCTGGCATTAAAATTTAACAAAATCAGCAACTAACATTCTTCTCCTTTAGGGGATAAGAAAATAAAATTCTTCTGTCTTAACATCACCAAAAATGAACCCTAAAATTTAGTCTAGGTAAATTAGATAGGATCTAGATAGGATTTTTTAAAGAATAGCAATAGCACTTAAACTTATAAAGTTTAAACTATAAACTTATAAACTTCACGGTGCTTTACAGCCCTCTCTAAGCAGTTTACAAACTCAGTGTAATTCCCTCAACAATCTGGGTCCTCTTTTACTGACTTTGGAAGGATGGAAGGCCGAGTCAACCTTGAGCTGTTCAGGATTGAACTCCTGGTAATGAGATGAATTAGCCTGCAATACTGTATTTTAATCATTGTGCCACTACAGTTCAAATGATTAAAATCATGTCACAAGTCACTTTTCACTCTATGTATAACTTTCTTGTGAAAGTGACTGATCAGAAAATATCCAATATCCACCAAAGATTTCCATGTCAATAGATCCACCAAACCAGATTTTGAAGCATTTGAATTGAGAAGACTAAAAGAAGTCCATACCCAGGCTCTTTCTCTATTTGAAAAATATATCCAGAGAAAATGTCCTTTTCTTATGTGGGATGCTTCTGAGAAAGAATGAAAGTTTTGTAAAAGCTGCATATGAAAAAAGCATAAATGTATAAAAGAAATATATTTTATTGGGTAAATAGATATTTTGAAAAATCTGACTGAGCAATATTTTTAAAAAATTATACCAGGAAGATACTATCTTTAAACGTTTCTAATGGAAATTATATTCAAAACTGTACATTAGGAAGAGTTGAATAGAAAAGTTTGATATGAAGGAAAGCTGTGAATGAAAATGATAGATATCAGTTATTTTTAATCCCATTCCAACAAACCCCCAACACATAGACATATATACACTGGAACATGGCTCTATAGAAACACAGACAGTAAATAGATCAGATTTCTGCATTCACAACTGAAGAAACACTTGGAGATCTATTGGTTTTTTTAGTAAAAACAGGCCAAATAATTGTGGAGGAATGGAATGAAAATTTGATAGTGTTTGTAGACTATTCCTTAAACCTAAAACACAATGCTGATTTTATCTACTTAGTGTAGTTATTAAACTACTGGCACCAAAACTGAAATTCAAAATTAATCTGGAAATTTTCAAAAGGAAATAATATAATATTTATATTTATAAAATGATATGAATATAATATTTATCATCAGAGTTTCACACATCTCTAATTTACTCAGAATGGAGAATATGGGAATAATGATGAAGGGGGGGGGAGTACATTTGTGAGCTTTAGTTCCATAAATTCCTATTATACATTCTTAATGACTATTGCAATGGCCTACATCAAAGTGGTATAGGGTGAGAGGTAAAAGAGGGAAGAAGCAAGGAAGAATGAATGAACAGAAAGAGAAACTGGGGGAGAGAAGAGTAAGACTAAATTGGATACCTTAAATTCAAAGATGTTATCAATGAACATAAATAGTAAATAATGAACATGAAAGCATCTTGCTGGTAGCTTTCAACATCCATCACGGCATCACATGATCTTAATTTGCTGGGGTAGGTGCTGAGCAACTAGCATCTATTTACAATGATTGCAGTGTCCCGGGATCATGTGATCGCTATCTCAGCTAACTTTGGACAAGCAAAGTCAACGGTCAACTGCAGTGATTTGCTGAACAATAATGGCAATAAAATCAGGTATGACCCAGAGGTGGAATTTAACAGGTTCTGACCTGTTCTGGAGAACCAGTAGCGGAAATTTTGAGTAGTTCGGAGAACCGGCAAACACCACCTCTGACTGGAGATTTTATAGTATCCTTCCCTTGCCACGCCCTCCAAGCCACACCCACAGAACCGGTAGTAAAAAAAATTGAATCCCACCACTGGTGTGACCTACTTAACTACCTTGCTTAACAACAAAAAGTTTGGTCCCAATTGTGGTTGAAAGTCAAGGACTACCTGAAAAAAGGGGGGGATTTAAATACTGGAATGGTGAAAATTGGAAGGAAAAGGAGGGTCATTCCATTATTAATCCGTGGGTTCAAAATGGCTCGACTTTATTTTTTATTTCCTATAATTACATCAATTCACCAGTATCAAACACCTGATAGAATCAAATAGTTTTTTGTAAAAACCATAAGGCTTCTCCCCATCTCCCAGCATTAGAAATGAAATATTAAAGTTTAGAGAGCTAGAAACATTAAAAATGAAAACCAATCCTTATGAGTTTACCAAGCATTCATGTTCCCACATGGTTCCGCCTTGCCTACTTAAGAATCTAACTAAGCTCTGCTAGTAAAATGATACACTGATTCCCTACAATCTAATTAAGCCTGGTTTCGATTGTTTGAGTTCATTTCTCTTCAGTGCCATCGACAATGGAGGAGAATCAGGAAATGTTTGTTTCTCAATGATTTATTTGGCCATGTTTACCTCTTAAAAGTTTGGCTACAAATATTTAAACAACAAAAAACCTGCTGAGGACAGAATTTAAGCTCAGATGACTGTATGTTTTTAAGAAATAAATGGTGTGCCTTTCCAATTCCTTCCATGCTGACAAGAAAATTTGGGAATTTTTTTAAGGCAATAATCTATGCAATTCATCAGTACAGATTAGTTTTTTTGCATCTTGGTTCCCTTTACCATAATTTGATAAAGGTGAACTAGAAGTCCACTTCTCTTCCCACCACCTTAAGGAAATGTTCTATGTACACCACAACTTGTGGCATAACATGGATTACATCATTTTGACAAAAACACCAGTTAACAGAATAACAGAGTTGGAAGGGACTTTGGAGGTCACTGGTCCAATCCCTTGCTCAAGCAGGGAACCCTGTATTATTTCAGACAAATGGTGGTCCAATCTTTTCTTAAAAACCTCTACTGTTGCAGCACCCACAACTTCTGGAGACAACTCGTTCCACTGATAAATTGTTCTAATTGTTCCTAATGTCATGAAATTTCTCCTTAGTTCCAGGTTGGATGTCTCCTTGATTAGTTTTTATCCATTGCTTCTTGTCCTGCCTTCAGGGGCTTTGGAGAAAAAGTTAACCCCCTTTTCTTTGTGGCAGCTCCTTAGATATCGGAACACAGCTGTCATGTCACCCCATCCTTGATTTCATTAAAATAAACATATCCAATCCCTGCAACCATTCTTCATATGTCTTAGCATTCAGTCCTCTAATCATCTTTGTTTCTCTTCTGTACACTCTCTAGAGTTTCAATATCTTTCAAATTATGGTAACCAAAACTGGATGCAATATTCCAAGTGTCAACTTATCAAGGCATTATAAAGTAGTATTAACACTTCACATGATCTTGATTCTATGATCCCTCTATTAATGCAGCCTTGGACTGTGTTGTCTTTTTTGGCAGCTGCAGCATACTGCTGGCTCATGTTTAAGTGATTGTCCACTAGGACACCAGATCCTTAAATGTCTTTGTGTCCTATGTTCTAAACTTAATTGTCTGGAATTGTTTCTACTAGAAATGCCAAGAACTGAAATTGGATATATTTTTTGTGTATACTCTTAGAAAATTCACTGTTAATTGAAAAACTCTGGAAATCAGCTTAGCATATGTTGCTCATAATTTTAATATTTAATGCAAACAATAAAATGTTCAATGAAATTATCCAATGTGCTATTGCTTGTTCTAGCACCAACATCTCATTAAAAAACTCTCTATGCAAAAATGCTTATGAGTGAGAAGTGGTAAAGGAGCGATATCAACTATTTTGTTTTGGGTCTGCAGGAAAGAAAATAAATAGAAATAATATTATTTGTTTTGAAAAGCAAAGGGTAAGATAATAAGAATTGATATGATAGAATGTAGCATGGTGCAAAGCAAACCACTAAACTGGAAACCTTAAAATGTCCAAAACCTTATCTTTAAACACTTACTTGGAACCTGCAAATATGTTTATTCATTGCATAAGCTTGCTGGTGATAATGTTGAAACATTTAAGGCTTTGCTATACTATAGCAATTAGCTCACAATTAGTTAAATATGAAGACTGCTGTACATAAAAACAGGCTCTTACTATTTGAAAAATCATAATTCTGTATTAATTAAAAAACGTGGGATTAAGTTTGAGTAAAACTAGTTGATAAAAGTTGTAAGGCCAGGTTAAAATTAGGGTCCACTTGAATAGTGAGTAGTCCACTTTCTCAACATTTCAGTTATTCGTAATATTACTTTAGCATTTGTAATAAATTAAAATATTATAATATTACAGATATAGATTGTGATTTTCTTATTTGCTATTATAAAATATGATGAAAAGTAGTTTTGAAGATCCACAGCTATAGTTTATGGCAATACATTTGTATGCATCCTTTATGCTGAAGTTTGAAATGGCCACAAATGCTATAAAAATTAATTGTTCAATAAAAGGGAAGCAGTGAAAGTATTCTTCTGATAATATATAGATTCTGCTGGGATTAAATTTATTTTGTTTTGTGTTCTAATAGATGGTCAGCCAGATAAAAGCCAGGAAGCACTCAATATGTCTCATATTGATCTTTTGTTTATATGAATCCATAAAGATAATTAGAACAGGAAGGGTTATATTACCTGAATTAATTGAATAAGGTAGCCAGAGGATATTTTATGGACTTTTCAGAAATCAAAAGAAAAAAATCACTGCTTTAAACATTCATGGGATTCTTAAATTATACTTCTCTAAGCATTTGCACTATTCTACACATACACAGTATTCTTAAATTAGGAGTTAGAAGAATGAACCTCAAGTTCACTTAGTTTGTCTTTCATTCAAACATAGTGGCCCTGTTCTCACAACAAGCTTAATTTGGTCAATTGTATGTTTAGCATGAGAACCTCAAAATATCACCTAGATCAAAATATCGCCTAGATTGCTTTAAAAAACTAGAACCCTTACATCATTGCTAGCCTCAATGCTGAGTTACCATACATTTGCTCATCAGCTTCATGTTACAAACCAAAGGGATTATGGTTTAGTAGTTAACAAGTCTGTTTTGTTCCTGTTTTCAGGTTGGTGGTTTGATGCCTGTGGCCCTTCCAATCTCAATGGAATGTTTTATTCAGCTGGACAACACCATGGAAAAATAAATGGGATCAAATGGCATTACTTCAAAGGTCCAAGTTATTCATTACGTTCCACAACTATGATGATCCGTCCCTTGGACTTTTAAAGAGGCAATAAGATAGTAGCCATCTGAAGGACACCTTATGTAATCTTTAGAAGCAGAAGGTTGAAACTCCATAAAAATTCCAACATCCTAGCTGTCTTTGGATCTTATTTCATTGGCTGCAGTAAACGAACACAAGTTGCTGCCCAACCCAGGAACAGGTGAAAGTGTGGATTATGAACAATATAAAATAGCTTTTGTGGCTATTCAGTGGACAACTTTAAGGTTTGGTTGCCACAAATAAACTGGTATCTTTTAACCAAAGCCTTTGTTATTGTTGTTGTTGTTGTTTTGCTTTCATCAAGAGGAATTTTTTTTAAAAAAATACAGGACATGCAAACCAAGTGGCCTTTTGAAAAAAACAGAAATAAAGTCTAATGGATGGCAGAAGATGTTTGTCAGGAAAATGGTATCAATTCAGTGCAATGGTATCAATTCAACTGCTATTTATTTGTAGCCCCTTAAAATGCAACTATGGCCTTACAACCTGGCATCAGAAAATGTGATTGAGATGGAAAACTTTTCTTTAATACAAGAACAATATGGTATATATGAACCATTTCTCATTAAACCTATTTTAAACATGGAATATCCTTCAAAGAGACAGTGAATCAAGTTGGACAGAAAAATATGGTGAGAATGGTCAATTGACCTGTATGGCTAGGCTAAAATTTGGCAATCCAGATAATTGGATTCTTTAAAATATTTCAACTATGTTTGATAGCATGATAACAAAAGGAATTATGGACTTTTCTTTCTGACTGCTACAGCTTTACTTTGCTTTATATGACATTCCAGTATGAATGTCATATGAAAAACAAAAAGAAAAAGTACAGCTCTTTTGAAAAAATTCAAAATCAAGGTTATTTGTACATAGATTTATGACATGGATACACAAATACAGAAAATATGCAAATTTCATAACCATGTATTAACTGGATTCAGTCTTGCTGGTTTGCATGTAAATGCTACTACTAAATTGCTAGTCTTTCACATCTGTTATTCAACCTTCACTTGACAGAATTCAACATAAAACTATGAGTTATTTCCTATCCTTTATTTACTCCTTTGGACAGTGGGTTGGAAATTAAGGAATACAAGAGAAGAAAAAGATTACAGATATGGATTGCAAATGCCCTGAATGGAAAGCAGTTATAATTGAGTGGATTAATTTAAATGGGAAAACAAGACCCTATTTAAAATGAGTAGGACTAAAGTGTAATTCCTTAGATCATTATCTAGAGGTACACATAATCCTGCCTTCAGAGACTTCTAAGATTGTGGGTATTGTGTTTTCTACTTTTTTCCAATACATCCATATCCAAAATTCAATGTTCATTCTAATGAGTGTTGAAACCTAGTTCAGATATTTGGCCAAGGTGACAAAGTCATTCATTGATATTTCATCTTCCAATGTACATCTAACATTAGACACAACACCATATTGGAGGAACATTGGCAGTTGAATCAAACCTTTGACTCATCTCATTCCTGTTTTTATGGTTTCAGAAAAGCATAGACTTTAGCAGTAACACGTGGTCCATCATTTCTATGTATGCTGATCATTTACATATAAACATATTACTTATTTTATCTGCATCCCATTTTTCCCTTGGGAAGAATATATTAATTTGTTGATCCACAATATATACACATGTGCCTTTAAATATTTCCTCAAGATAAAATGGCTTATGATAAGCAAAATACAGGATGATAATTTAGAACTTTTATGCATTTTGTCTTTTCACTGAATTTAAATGGGAAATTTTTCACCCTGAATTCTTAAAGGAATACAGGAAAATAGTGGACATTCATATATACACCTCTTGGCCACTGTGTAATAAATAAGAACAGAAATGTCAAAGTCCACCCATGAGGAATTTAAAAAAAAAATCTGTGAAAAAGTATTCTGAACCACCAAAGCAAAGGAGAGCTGGTTTAAAAAAAAAAACACTCAGGAGGTTTTTGGTTTTTTTTTGCCACCCACCATTAATTCATGCAGATTCATGTGAAGTGGAGGGACACTATGGTTCAGTGGTAGATTATATTGCCATATAGAAGTTCTAAATCCTGTAGTGGTGCAGTGGTTCAAATGCAGTATTGCAGGCTAATTCTGCCCACTCCCAGCAGTACAATACTGGCTCAAGGTTAATTTAAACTTCCATCCTTCCAAAGTCAGTAAAATGAAGAACCAGATTGTTGGGGGCAATATGCTGACTTTGTAATCCACTTAGAGAGGTCTGTAAAGCACTATGAAGTTTAAGCACTACATAAATCTAAGTACAATTGATATATCAGATAAAAGAATTTAAAAGATACAAGTGCCTACCAAGTGCCTATTATCACAGTTGAGAATCCTGGACTAGATATAGAAACTGCATTATCTGGTAATTCATCGTTTTATGCTCCTGTCCTTCTGAGATATAAATGAATTTTTCATTTTCTCAAGCCAGTAATTATTCTCTTTCTATTATGTACATGACTGGTGGCTCTGAAATTAAAACATCATTGGGTTTAACCAATGCCTGAGCTTTTTTTTAATTATTTTTAATTAATAATTTCTGTTGTATCTAATACAATGGTCTCAGCTTCCTCTTAATCCAGGGAAATAATCTTTCTTCCATGTATGGGAAGAAAACAAGCACTCATTTTTAAAACAAAATATGAAAAAACCCAAGGATTTACCACAGTATTCTTTGTAATTGGGACAGTTTTCAAGTTAAGTTGTGTATTTATGTATTTTTTGTATTTACATATTCCTGCCTAAAGGGTTAATTTGTTGTTTTCTTCTGGTTAACTTACCTAACTGTTCTTTATTCAGTGGTCCCTGCCAACTGTTGCTTTTTCTCTTATTTCAACAATCTTCACTTATGTCCAAAGATTGTGGTGCTTCTTGTGGGTGGCATTTTTTTTAAAGTCACCAAATCCAGACTGCTACTATGTGGACTCAATTCCAAATTCCAAAGGTGGAAGGGTTTAAAAAAGTCACACCTACAAGCATATTTACCTGTTTATTTATCTCTGTTTGAAGAAATGGGGGACATGATTTCTTATCCTTTATAATAAAATGTTTAAAACACCCTAGATGGTTCCATATTTTGACTTGGTTGGGAAATACATTCTTGTGGCAGTCCTGCCCTTAAAATTCAATATTTTAAAAAGAAAGCCGAAGAATATTTCAAGTCACAGGCAGAGTGTGCATGAAAAGCTATACTCTAAAAACTTTACAAGGGGTGCGATGGCTCAGCAGTTAAAGATGGTGAGCTTGTCAGTGGAAAGCTGACAGCCCAGGTTTGAGACCTGAGTGCTGAGTGACAGGGTGAGCTTCCATCCTTGCTCAGCTCCTGCCCACCTAGCAGTTAAAAACCAGGCAAATGTGAGCAGATAAATAGTTACCATTTTTGTAGGAAGGTAAGATGTTCCATGTGCCTTAGCATATAGTCATGCTGGCCACATGGCCATGGAAATATCTTCAGACAATGCTGGCTCCCTCATCTAAGAAATGGAGATGAGCACTGCCCCCTAGAGCTGCAAACAACCAGGCAGGGGAAACCTTTACCTTTAAAAACTTTACATAAAGGAAAGTGTTTTCTTTCTCAATAATATACGTTTCCCCGTTTTTTCTTGCCTTTTCTTTTGATGTTCCAAATGCCGATCCCAGCAAACTGATTATTATACAATTTGGATTTTTATTTGTTTGTTAATTATGCCTGCTCCTCTGGGTCATTTACTTTTTTCTTCATCCTTAATTACTTTTCATTCTTTAATCATTCATTCATGAAAGTTGGCACTCTCAAACGATTTTAAATGCTTTTACCCTGAGCCAGATATTGTTTGCCATAGGTATTAGGGAGAAAGTATTTTAACCATTGCTTTGAAATAGATTCATCCACATATTCCAAGGAACCGAAATGCAATTGGACTTCTTCAATGAGCACATTGATGCCAGACTAAGTTGTTTTACAAAACCAGAACAAAGGCCAGAGTCTGATAAGCAGTGTGGTTTAACTCCTAACAAATAGTGCTAAATTGCCAGGGGAAATTATCTCATCAAAGTGAATTTTGTGGTGGGTGATGGTGGAATTTATGATATATAAAAGAAATTGGATTGATTAGAACAGATCACCACTGTTATTCCTCCTCCTCTTCATCCTCTTCAAATACCCAGTTTTCATGCTAGGATACTAAAGGGAATGGCCAATATTTAAATCCAGGAAAAAAACATGAACTGCAAACATTATATCTATCCTGCAATTTGGATATGCAGTAACAGCAGCTTATAATGTAAGCTGAAACCTTGCAGTAACACTGTAATAACTCAAAAAGCAAGATTGTGCAGCCAACATCTGAAGGCAAATTTAAACTTTAATGTAGCAATGAAATGATGCAATTGCACAATACAACTCTACAACAATCCAAAGATTAAAAAAAAACAGAATAATAACAGTGAGAAATACACCATGATTTTAAAAAAAATTGGAACAAGAGAAACAGAAAATAATAGAATTACAGAGTTGGACAAAGATCCATCCAGTTTTCAAACCTTTGCAATGTGCCAGAAAACCAATCAAATCACCTATGGGAGAAACCTGTCCAGGTTTTCTTGAAAACTTACAGATAATCCAAAACTTCATTTCAGTTCCAGTTGTATAGATCTGACCATCTTGGAATCTTTTGTTATATTTAAATGAAGTCTAGGGAGTACTATTGCTTTTGGTGTAAATATCTATAATCATTGAAAATAGTTCTTGAAAGTGACTGTCTTCCTTATATCTTTCCTTTGTTTAAGTAAATATGGCTGTGAAGTTTTCCCTAAGTCTTTTTTGCTTCAGAATGAACATCCCATTATTTAGCCTATACTCATGGGGCATATTCTCAACTCTTTATATTATCTTCACTGGTTTCCCCTCAACTTTCTCTAACTTGCTGATATCCTTCTGAAAATATTCAGAATTTCATCATATTTGTCATATTTACATCATAAAAATTATTACATACAGACAAAATTTCAAAAGCTCTTAAATAGTAATATCATTCTGAGCCATTTTTCCGAAAGCCAGACTAAGATTATGAATTCAAATCAGACTTTTTTCTTAAAGCCATAGCAGGTATCTTAAGAGAAGAGTGAAACTGTCCCAGAATTTTCTTTTTTAGTTTATCGCCATCTAAGCTAAACTATTTAATCATGAGACAATCTACATTTCATTAATTGACATAATTAATCATCTCTTGAAACTTTCTACCAGTTTTCCTCTAAAGCTGCAATTCAACCTTCAATGTGACAGCCTCTAGTAATTTTATCAGCAGAGAATCTATGTTGGTGTGCAAAATGGGAATGAAAGGACTTAAATTCCTATTAGGAATTATCATACACTGAAATGCCAACATTGAAATACTGATTGGTATCAAACTCTAAAATGCATGACATGACTTAGAAAAACAGTTACTTCCTTAAAGATATTAGTGGTGCTACTTCAAGAAATACTCTATATTTCTATCTTGGGTAAGAAATTCATCATTCGGAGAAGTTATGAAATATTTATTCTTCCATATTTAGATATCAATTCATCCTCCAGAAAGCCTTTCATGCTTAAATTTGGAAGCAGTGTCTTCTCTGAAAGAAATGATAAATCTCCAGTTTCTTTAAATTCAAAACCATCACTGAACAGTTAGTTTATTTTCTTTGGGGAAATGGAACATAACTTCATGATGTATATTTTCTTTGCTTCTTTCAGCCTTTAAAAGATATTGGCTTCAGTTCTTGACTCATGTCCCTTGTATGTTGCTATATGTTTCCTGTTCTGGGAATGTGATTCTGATAGTGGAATAGCCAAACAAATCTTGGTCTTTTCAAAACTGGAATAGAAACTTCTTCCAATGCTTTAAGAAAACAACTAAACATCATTTCAATTGACTTAAAGCTTCTTTGTTCCCTAAAAGAGGAAAAAATATACTAAAATCAGAACAGGATATTGGTGCAAGCTGTCAAAAGCAGATTTCCCTAACCTAGAAGTGTGGGAATCAGATCATGCTGGTTCTGAGCATTGAGATCAACACATTTGGAGGGTGCCAAATTTGTTGAAACCTAGTCTAGAACCTTATAATTACAGTCACTGGTTAATATATGGATAGTTATTAAGTTAGAATTATATTGGCACCTGTCCATCACAGTTGTAACTCATAGTGGTTATAAATAGAATCATGGTGGGTGTTCTATGGTTGGTGGATACATGACCAACCAAATTTTACATTTTTTACAATGATCAATAAGCAACACCATGGTTAAGTGAACCAATGGTTTCCTATGGATCAATTTTTCCAAAAATGGAAAGTAAATACTGATTTACAGCAAAACCATTATAAAACATGGACACGTGACCATGGAACATTGTGAATGGCCATAAATATGGTTCAGTTGCCAAGCCTCTGCAGTGCAGTCACTTGACTGTGGTGGTGAAGGCATCAAATTCATATACATTTGCTCTAAATTTACATTAGAGGTCTATATATAAGAATGAGTTACCATTTGTACCATGTTTATGAATGCATTGTACATTTGTATTATATCAATGCTTATCAGTTACTTTGACCTACCCTAATTGAATTAGGGAAGAAAATAATTGTGCCTAGGTGCTCTTGATAATGTGCTCCATAAATAAGTTTTCTTGGAATTAAGGCAATCAAATATCATAAATAATGTAAAAGAAAGAACGACAGAAACCTCAAAAAAGATAGATAGCTATTTTTCTATATATCAGATACACTCACATCATATCAGAAGAGAAGAAGAAACCAGAAGATAAAGTTAGATATGTCTAGTTTAATGAAAAGAAAGAGTAGAGGTGACATGATAGCAATGTTCCAATATCTAAGGAGCTGCCACAAAAAGGAGGGGATCAATCTATCCTCCAAAGCATCTGAAGGCAGGACAAGAAGCAATGGGTGGAAAATAATCAAGGAGAGAAGCAGCCTTGAACAAGGGAGAAATTTCCGGACAGAACAATTAATCAGTGGAACTACTTGCCTCCAGAAGCTGTGGGTGCTCTAATACTGGAGAACAAACCATTTGTTTGAAATGGTATACAGTTTCCTGCTTGAGCAGGGGTTACACTAGAGGGCCCCTAAGGTCCTTTCCAATTCTGTTATTCTGTTAAAAAGAAACATTTATCCTCAAATGGGAATTTTTTTTTCTTTCATAACCCCAGATCTATGCCAAAAGCCACAATGGAGATCCATAGGTGGATAAGAAAACCATAGGTGAGTTCCAGAAAGGAAAACATCACAGTTTATCAGATTCAAGTATATATTTACCACCAGGCTTGAGGGTTATGTGTGTGTGTCTATTGTATTATTAAGTGCTAGCCTCCCTGAGACCTAATTGTTTTAATGCTTGATAAATGAAAACAGATGTATTGAGTCCATCCCGCACTGCCTTGTCAGGAAGGTCATAAAAATATTTTTTTTCTTTCTGAACATATACAGGAAAAAAAAAGGCAAACATTAATTACAGGACTGGGAAAATATCACAAACACAACAAAATACAGTGGCTAGATTCATACATACTGCTGTAAATTGGAATGCCAAATAAACAAGCACAATGTATGTGTTGTATAGTTTGCTACATCTAAACCTAACTATAACAACTCAAGAAAATGACGAATTGCAAATTTACAAGACACACAATCAGGATTCTGGAAGATCAAATGTAGAGCTACTTTCCTATTGGTATAATTTATATAAATACATTTCAGAGGAGAAAAATTGCAATAAAATATTGCAGGTTAAAATATTTATTCAGATATTGTACCAGCCTGTAGCTGTTTTTCACCCTTCAAATGTTAGATTTGATACCCAAAGCAGAAAGGTTCTCTTTTTAATTTCTGATCAATCTATGCAACATTCCTGGTTTGGGGCCATATAATGAACCATCCTTTGGGAATAAATTCTGTTA